TTGGCAGAGAAAGCACATGGTTCAGCTTCCTTACATCATCATGGCGGTAGATGCCTTTGTGGCAGGACTTTTGTGCCTTCTCCTTCCTGAGACTAATAACACTCCGACAGCCGAGACACTAAAAGGTGCTGAAGCTTCCGACGCTATCGATCTAGGCCTGTTGGCAGCAAAAGGCGAAGACGAAGAGGAAGACCCTGAGAAAATGACTGTAATGTAGGGAGATCTACAGCTAAGGAGGGGAGGGTGAATACCTTAGGTTTACTCTGGTCAGCGATTTAAATTATTACCTGATTCAAAGTACCTTGTAGTTTCTTAGACGGGAAATTCTACTTAGACTTACTACCTGTTTATAAGAGGATCAGTAGGAAACAGCAGTGCTTTTAATCTAAGGCAGGCTTTCTATATTACAGAAGTAGTTTTCGAGTAGACATTCTCGGTGTGGCGCGCATATAGTGGAATAAATTTTTGAAGAGTTTTTAGACTTGTTGTCAGTGGTAAATACAGGCGAGCCGTTGGGAAATTCGATCGTATTTTAAAAGCTACTGTAACAAAAAGTCGGCGTTTGATCGGATCTACTTACATATGATTGTCTTCTTCTTTTAAATTTGGTGTGTTAGGCCATCGATGGTCGTTTCTATGGAGTGCAATTTGCAGGTTTTTTGGTAAATCTATTCTAATAACAAAAATTAATTACCTGTAAAATAATAGACTTCGAGCAGTCCCGCCTTTTCGGCGAAGCCGTTTCGCGTGCATGTGCCAAAAAACTCGGCAGACAAGGAAAATAATGTTAACGCGCTGCGTGGAACTCTGGGAGAGAGGTGCACGAAAAGTACTGTCAGAGTTCCGTGCTACACGGAAATGTCAATTTGCTGATGGTTTTTTTTACTCGCGCACCGGACCTCGCCAAAAAAGGAGGGACTGCTCGAGTCTAGTTAATTAACATCAAACGATTATAGGAGGCATTAAAAATGTGCAGTTACAGCCGGATTTATTTATATTTTAGCTAATGCCACTGACTAAATATAATCCTAACCTTAGAGGCAAGTACGCGTTTTGACCAGGAGCGAGTTATATAGAATGGTACTCGTGAGCAAGAAGTCACGCGACAGATCGCTCGTGTGGATACTAAAGCATATTTTTATTAGTATTGTTGCTATTTTTGTTACAAAAGTAAATGTATTATACCAGGCATATCTGGGGGGGGCTATGATATGAGGATTGCTAGAGAACCTCTAAATGTCGAACGTTGTCGAAACGTCGGTGGCTGTCATCGCGTCCAAGGCAACCAGTCCTTTCCAGGATTGATCAGATCTCATTATAACCTTTTTTTGCATTTGTTATTATGAATTGTAACAACGAATCCTAATCATTAGGTTTTGCGAAGGGAAATGACTGCCAGACGTAAAAACTGAGAAAATACAATTTTTGTTTTCAAGTTTGAATTAAAGACAAATCTGCTTATTTCAGAGCTCAGTCAAGAGATGAATTAGTCACCAAAGAGAAATAAAAAGTTATTCAGAATAATGTCCTTAGTAATACAAATGTACAAAAAAAAAACGGTTTTAGTCCAAAGTAGGATGTCTTCTTACCATAAACTTGGAACATAACCTCATTACTTTTCACTTGTTTCGGCTCAGAGAAGTAAGGGAATTCGTGTACATTAGAATTTATAGCAAGACAGTATGGACATGGACGACTTTCATTTTAAGGAACAGCGTTGCAAGACTGACGCACATGCAGCAAGTCGTTATTATCTTGGAAAAAAATATTGTTTTGAAGAGAAAGTTCTTTTGTCTTGTTCGTAGAGTGAAGTTCTTGGAAGGTGACTAAGAACAATTTTCAAGAACGATTTGTAAGAGTCAGTCAATTCATTAAAGTGACTCCACAGAACTAAAAGTTGTCGAACGACTTCTTTTGTAACTTTCCTGGAATGTCCCCAACCAATCTCTCTTTCAATAACTACAACGAAAAAGATTAGGTCGCCGTGTTTGCTAAAGAAATATGATGGGCCAATTTGACCTCGTCCATTTACTGCAAAAACGAATAACAAGTTCTCGGAATGCGTACGCCCTTATTTGCGCAGCACAGGATGCGCAGTGTAATACTGAAGAATTACCTCAACTGATTCAGCCTACATTAAAATGTTTTAAGAGCAAAACTACCCCTTGCCATAAGTTGAATGAGAAGGAAAGAATATACATCGGGAAGATAGAAAAAAGACTCTTTTGAAAAGAAAAACTAAAAGAGACAAGGCATAAGTCCTTTAAATTCAGTTACAATGACGTGCGTAATCCACCAAGTTTGCTTTGCTGTTTGTGGTGTCTTTCAGAGTATCGGCCATTGTGAATTGGTTACCATCAGCGGCTTCCTTCTCTTTGAAATCTACAGCTGACTTCAGTGCCATATATGCTTCTTCAGTGCTTTCGGTTTCCATAGTTTCAGCAGTTGGCAAGTCTTTTGTCTCCGGCAGAGTCTGGCAAAGGATTCCCGCCAACAATGCGTTGCCTCCCATGATGCCGTATGGGAGAAGCGGGTGGGTGAATCGCTATGAGAAAATAAAATATCAGCGGCAGACGAGATTAGTGCAATTTTTAGAATTTAAAGTAGAAGTAATCCCGGATTGTGTTGTAATTCTTTTCTCTGCTCTGTGATTGGTTTAGAGATTTTACGCACTTTTTCAACCAATCAAATACATAACCAAAACCATTCCCGCAACGATCACGTGCGTTTTCCCGCGCTCGAAGCGGGTTACGTATGGCTACGTGTATTTAATTTCAATATATCAACAAAGTTGAAATGGTAAATTGGCCACCGTTACGATTATAAAAGCTGACGTTTCGAGCGTTAGCCCTTCGTCGGAGCGAATAAGGGAATTGTGGGTTGTGTGAGCTTTTAAAGGCGGTGTATTTAATCTGAGTTATCATTGGCTCTTTGCACAGTTAATCTTTAATTTGAATAGTTGTTGTGATTACTTCGGTGTTGTCCCCTTGACACTTAATTGAGTATAGTTAGTACTATTTTCGGTCTATTGTATGTAAGAAAAAAGAAATAGGAAAAGAAAGAAATTCTCACCAGATGAATTATATAAGAAGATAAAAAGGAGCCAATCCCTCCAGAGGCTGTTGATGTGCCCATGCCTATGTTCCTGTGATGAATGATGAACCAAAAAGTTATTATCAGAATGGATGTTCTCTTTGTTACACAAAAACATTAACAAGAAAATATGTGTGGAGAGTAAAGCATTCTCAAAACTATCAATGATAAAGGCATTGTAGTCGGTCAGGAAAATAAAAATGCCCACATTTTTTTGGCAAAAGTTAATTACTAAAACACTGTCTTTGACAAATGTTGTAGACGTCAAACAAAAAAAAACGCAGAATCTACGCCCCACGGAGTGAAAAAATTATACCTGATGACTGTAGGGAAGAGTTCAGCGGAGTAAACATAGATAGCATCAAATGAGATGAACACAAAGAACTTCGCTGACATCGCCATAAGAATACGACCAGCCATGAACCCTGGGAACAGAACAGGAGTAAAAATAAATCAGTTTATTGCACGTGCTATATGTCTTGTTTTCCTACATCGGTATTTGTTTATCTATCTGTAGGCAAAGTTTTCCTTGAGGAATTAAAAAACTATCTTCTCTTAAAGTGTATTGGACGCTGTTCATCCCAGCAATATGTAGGACGCACATCAGATAAAAACCCAGTATGAAGTAAAACTCACCAAAGAGTTTTGAAAAGCTCATTTGGAAGAGCATCCAATCGCGAAATCGAAACAGACCGGGTTGGAATCCTTACAAGGGACAGGTAACGAAATTTAAACAATTTTTTATCATTCAAACGACACGGCGGAAAAATCACTGATTATTTAAAGTCACACTAACTAAAAAGGCACTAGTGCACATGCTTTGTTTTTAGGGCAAGTGATCACAGGCTGAAATGGATTGTTTTTTTTGTTCTGTCAACCTGGTCCCACATTGGGAAAAACATAGAATAAAAGGATAGTACAAGAGAAAAGACGAGCAGTGAACCAAGCGTAGATATGTGATGATACTACCACGTCCAGAACCAATCATACCTTTATCGCTCCCAGGATCATACATTGTACATAACACTGCGCCAGTTGAGGCGACCGCAGCGAGGATCAGGAAATAAACCAAAGGCTTTTTGCGACCGAACCTGAGCACATAAAAACGCAGTGAAGAAAGAAAAATTGACATTCTAATTTAAAATCAGTTACTGAGTGCTTCTGCCATTACTCACCTTCCCATGATCCAGATGGCCACGAAATTGGCAGGAAACTCTATAACGGAGGCCAGGAAGAAATTCAGGTATATGTTACCACCAAGGGTTGGAGTACTGAACGATACACCATAATAAACCATGCCGTTTACAAACCTGTTAAGGAAAACCACCAATGACCGCAAAACATTGCATTACTAAGAATCTGTTGTTGACATTAATCTTGTGCTTGACAAAGTATTTCTATAGCTCTCGCATCTTCTAACCATTCTTGAGAACAACGAAAATAAACAATAGTTTTTAAGTCTGTAAGGTTTCGCTTCGATTTCTGCAACCAAAGTTCCTGTCGCTGGTTTTACTTTAGGACGCTCCCTGATTGGCTCAGGAAACTCGTGTCGCTTTCTTAACCAATCAAATTGAAAACTAAACCATTGAACTCTCGCGTTTTCCCGCGCTTTCCTTTGATTTAAATTCTGTCTTGCAAAACTGTTTGAAATACGCCGTAAGCACCCTAGTCTACCATTCCTACTTACTTACCAGGCATACCAAGACACTAGAGTTCTATGAACCATCTTCTTAGTTCGAAATAAATATCTGAAGTCACCTATCTGTTGAACCTTCCCATCAGCACACGGGTTGTCTAAAGGCTCCTCTGGGTATTTCTTCTTATTCGTCGCAGCGATTTCCCGAAGGATTTCTTCCGTCTCTGCAAGCTTATTCTTGAGCAGTAGATACCTCGACGATTCTGGAACAAACCTTAATACAAGATTAAACTTAATAAACGTTTTCATTGTCTCCAGCTGTGTAGTAAATCTGAGAGAATTTTTCACTCTTCGTTTAGAGCTTCCCCTCATGGGTGTATTGGATCCTAAATTTTCTTTAACGTTTGAATGGAGAGAGTCGCAGGGGCTTTGCGATAGTATCTCGTTTAGAGACAGCACAATGATGGCTGACAGGGCACAAACTGTCCCTCTCAAGTGGCAGTCTGACGCAATGGCCTTTACGCCGCCATGTTTATTTTGATCTCGGCCTCACTCGAACGCTATAACCCATGGTTGAAAGTCGACAGTTCAAATTGCAAACTTTCACAGAACTCATCAAATTTACGGATTCTCAGTTGTGCTTATGTGCGTTACCCGCAGGTTAAGTTTAATCTTACTCCTGTGCATTCCCTTTTCTGCTTGGAAAGTCTTATATTTACTTACTTACCTCCACGCCAAAATGGAAATCAAGCCGGGTGCAGAACATACGATTGACAGCATTCTCCAGTCACGCACCCCATATGCTAGTCCTGCCAACGTCTCGAGACCCAGAGCCCATGAATAAAACAGTGACGTGCCAGCGACATGACGGTGCCTCTTGCCTACAAATTCTGTCGCTAACACGTACACTCCCATTGATCCGCCCCCTGAAAAATTGGCACAACAATAAACAACGTTGTCAATTCTTAGAGCAGTAAGTAGTAAGTGCGATATTCAGAAGCCTTAACTTAACATAGGGAAAGTTAGTTTTGGACATGAGCTTGGTAGCCTCCTCTCCACCTCGAGGGAGAAAAGAGGGTGCTGCAAACGAGTTCGGTAGCCCAACTTGGTCCAACTTGCTTTGTGCAATGCTTATCAATCGTATGTAGCCTTCCAACATTCCTTCATGCGTCCCCGATCGTTTAGTGGAGATAAATTCTAGAGAGACTCTGGCGCCGTGTAAACTCTGGTAAGCTAGGTGCGCACAGTTCACGGATTCGTTCTTCCCCCACGTCGTTTTACTAAAGCGACAGATGGGGAAGATCGACACTCGTCGTCTAACTCCCTCAGGGATCGAACCTCAACCTCAATCGAGAGTTCACCACGCTTACCATCGCGCCCCAGCGCCTTCTACTCAGAAGATTATACAGTAATAATAATAGCAATAATACACGTATAATCAGAGAAAAAATGGCTGCATGTTATGAACTACTTACCTATACTTAAGCCTGTACATAGTCTGAACAGGATAAACAGCCAAAAACGATGTGGAAAAGAGGCAAGAAGGCCAAACAAACTTGTAGTGAACGAGAAGATCAGCAAAACGGGTTTACGGCCGATTTTATCAGAAAGAACGCCTCCACCGAGTGCTCCAAACAACCAGCCCGCGAATACGAGAGAAGTGGAAAGGCTCGACAGAATGGCATTATCACAGACTAAGTCGAACTGAAATACAAATACATAACATAGCGACGGTATCACTAATATGTTCTAAAACAGATATACAAAAACAGATAACGAGTGCGAATGCGAAAGAATCAAATTTAGAACTAAACATGGTTTATAAACTAATAAACATTTAACATCATAACAAGCAGAATAATCATAATACCAAAATCCTGTGATACAAACTAAGATATTAAAATTTCCGAATCCTTTTGTTACTTGATCCCCTTCGTCACACCCCTCCCCTCTCCTTATTAAGCAGTCATCAATTACCCTTTTAACTTTTCATCCACTCACAGGTTTTGTTTTGTAGTTTAATTACATTTTTGAGAGTTGAATTACCGTTGTAACAACAGATGTAAAATCGTCAGCAAACTTCCAGGATTCTCTGGGCATTTTGCATCGCCGTTCATCCGTAGCGTCAACTTGTCCAGTAAAGTTACAATGGCTTTTATTTCGAATTCCGGCGCACATCCATTTAGGTTCCGCCGAGGTGAAGCTGGGCAATATCACCTGGTATGTCATATTAATCATTTCAATGTAGCTCAAGATGAATATAAGACGGATCTGGTACCAACCCATGCTGCCAATCTTCTCCAACACTTCGTCCATACTCAAAGCCATTTTAAACTTCAAGCCTATCGAACCAAGTTTTCGGGGTGGGACTGAAATACAAAGAAGGGAGAAAAAGATAAGCGCCTTTATCAGTGGTGAAACCAAGAACCTCAAAACTGTCTATTATGTTTTGACTTTCAGATAATATACAGATTTTCTTAAATTAGAGGAAAAAAACGTCCCGTAAAAGAAGTTCTTGGATGAGGGTGATACACAAGACAGAACACGTGCAAGGATAAAAACGCGCGAGGCATGTCTCCTCCTATATGGATGCACACGTGCGTCATAATTTCCCTCACACTCCGTAACTCTTGCGCTTTGTGCGAGTTCACAAATATACGAATATGATTACCAGTTGCCACCTGCTCTCAGGTGATATTACAACGATATACCTATTCCTAGCATAGCTAATGTTTTGTTGGGCACTCGATGAATCTAGACCAGTGGCAGAATTAAGGGAAAGAGTCTTGCTGCTATTACTCGTCGCTCTGCCGCACAACACTTCGAACTGCTCACAAAACCACCAACTGAGCAGGTTGCCAAAAACTCCGAGTACGAAAGTAGTTTGATAAGTAAGGATTTCACTAGTTCTGATGTACCTTCTACAGTTTCCTGCAAAGTCTGATGTTCTCTTCCATGGCCAAAATCATCGCCAATTTCTTATTTAATGACAGTTTGAAAACCAGACCAGTATTTTTTCCCGATCTTAGACATTGATTTAGCAAGTAAATTGAGAACAGCAGGTCAAATGCGGTGATGTCATCGCAACATTCGATAGTCTCTAATCAGATGAGAGTCTACTGGTCTCCGAGGAAAATTTCACACATTATATTTAGCGAAACGTGTTAAATAGAAAAGTCAGGGAGATAAGATTAAGTGCTAGATTTCATCTTTATCGCCAGTTCATCAAATTAAGTTATTTTTACTGAAATAGTTTTATTCCTTTTTCTTCCAAATTCTTTTGCGTTTTTTTAAACCAGTCACTTTTTTGTTTTTTGTTTTAATTCGGAAGCGTTTGTCTGTAATTCGTGCAGCATTAGTACCGTTTTTAGCCTTCTTATCGCCTGGTGTAGTTTCTTTCTCAGCGTAGTTTGTAAACCATTTATGAAGCATTCAGGCAGCAAATCATGATTAACTATTCGTTCTCTCCGTACACTCGCAGTGATCTGTGGCTAGTTTCTGCGTTTTACGAAGTTTCGTTTCAATGGATTAAATTTGCAGATGGCTTTTCCGTTTGTCACAGCAAAGTTAGCGAAATAATTGCGCAAAAAATGAAAAGCGTGTGGGTTTTCCCAGGGGGAGCTCCACATCTCCCAGGAAGTTATTATTGTCACACATTTGATAACTCATAATGTACTTTGTATTAGCACCAAGTTTAAGCTAAATCGGTGATTTTAGCATTGGACGGCATTATCACTCCTTCCCAGTTTTCTAGTGCACACGCTCTTAATTCCCGTTTCTGGGCAGTTCCAAAATTTTGCCCTGCATTTCAGATTTCTGCTTTGTTTTGTGTTTTATTTAGTCCGGTTAGCACACTGAGTATTGTGAGTTCGCTTTTGATAGACAAACATTCCATTGGTGCCTCGGTCTTTTGGCTCTTTCTGAGAGCGAACGTGCAGGAGCAAGGACCTCCAGGGTCAATGTTCTGCCAACCCCGCTGGGAATGATGTCAGGGCGGAGAAGCGGTGGGGAAAGTTATATGTCTGTCTTCAAGTATATCACGTTTCTCAACATTGACATTCTTTACGAACGTCTGTAATAAAACATTCAACCAGACGGTGAAAAATAATTCCACTTTTCCACGAAACTGATGTTCCAGTTTCACCTGTCTTAGAACTGCAATTTTGTTGTGAAATGTGTAAATTTTGATGAAATAGTAAGTGTTCTTTAAATTAAGGCTGATAGTTTCTAAAGAAACTGTTTGGCGCTGCGTCTGTGGGGGTAACGAAATAATTTGAATATATCAACAAAGTTGAAATGGTAAATTGGCCACCGTTACGGTTATAAAAGCTGACGTTTCGAGCGTTAGCCCTTCGTCGGAGCGAATAGAGGAATTGTGGGTTGTGTGTGCTTTTAAAGGCAGAAAATGGAGCTACGTGATTGGTGGGAACATGGCAACGAGAAAAACACGAATAAATTAGTGGAATGAAAAGCGTTCGTTGATACCTGTGGGATTTAGACTGCCGGTTTGAAAGATGAGCTTTTGTTCAAGAGTTTTACGGCTTTCCGTGCTACCTAAGTGTAAGGAAAGACCGCAGATTGCCATATGTTGCTTAGAATGATTAGGTAAATTAAAATGTCTAGCGACTGGTTTCGATGTGTCCTTGTCATTCCTCTCCACGTCGCGAAGGTGTTCTCGGAATCGGTCACCTAGTCTTCTGCCTGTTTCGCCGATGTATATCTTTTTGCAATA